GATAAATCTACAACGAAGGGAAGAAAACAGCCAAAAAAGGCTGAGAATACCCAAGATCAGAACGCCTCTCCCTCACCAGGGGATCCCAGTTCCTCCTCAGCGACAAAACAAGGCTTGATGCAGAACGAGTGTGTTCCAATTACAGAAGCAGGCTTCAAAACGTGGATAATAAGAAACTCCTGTGAATTAAAAGAACTTATGCTAACACAATCTAAAGAAACTAAGAACTTTGAAAAAAGGTTTGACGAAATATCAACAAGAATACAAAATTTAGAGAGGAAAATAAGTGAATTGATGGAACTGAAAAACACAATACGAGAACTACGTGAAGTATGCACAAGTTTTAACAGCCGAATTGATCAAGCAGAAGAAAGGATATCAGAGGTCGAAGACCAACTCAATGAAATAAAACAAGAAGACAAGATTAGAGAAAAAAGGATAAAAAGGAATGAGCAAAGTCTCCAAGAAATATGGGACTATGTGAAAAGACCTAATCTATGCTTGATAGGTGTACCTGAATGTGACGAAGAGAATGAATCCAAGCTGGAAAATATGCTTTAGGATATTATTCAGGAAAATTTTCCCAACTTAGTAAGGCAGGATAATATTCAGCTCCAGGTAATACAGAGAACACCACAAAGATATTCCTCAAGAAGAGCAACTCCAAGGCACATAATCGTCAGATTCACCAGGGTTGAAATGAAGGAGAAAATACTAAGGGCAGCCAGAGAGAAAGGTCAGGTTACCCATAAAGGGAAGCCTATCAGACTCACAGCAGATCTCTCAGCAGAAACCCTACAAGCCAGAAGAGAGTGGGGACCAATATTCAACATCCTTAAAGAAAAGAACTTTCAACCAAGAATTTTACATCCAGCCAAACTAAGCTTCATAAGTGAAGGAAAAATAAAGTTTTTTGTGAACAAGCAAGCACTCAGAGAATTCATTACCACCAGGCCTGCTTTACAAGAGCTTCTGAAATAACCACTACACATAGAAAGGAACAAACAGTATCAGCCTTTCTAAAAAATACCAAAAAGTAAAAAACATCAACATAATGAAGAATTTACATCAACTAATGGGCAAAATAGCCAGCTAATATTAAATGACAGTATTAAACTCACATATATCATTATCAATTCTAAATTTAAATTGACTAAATTCCTCAATTCAAAGACAGGCAATTTGGACAAAAAACTAAAACTGTATGCTGCATCCAGACCCATCTCACATTTAAGGATACACAAAGACTCAAAACAAAGGATGGAGAGAGACTTACCAATCAACCAGAGAGCAAAAATAAATAAATAAAAAGCAGAAGTTACAATTTTTGCCTCTGATAAAATAGTATTTAAAGCAACAAAGATCAAAAGAAGCAAAGAAGGACATTATATAATGATAAAAGAATTAATGCAACAAGAAGAAGAGTTAAAGGTCCTAAATATACACACACCCAATACAGGAATACCCAGACATACAAGACTTATAAAGAGACTTAGACTCCCACACAATAATAGTGGGAGACTTCAACATTAATATTAGACAGATCAATGAGACAGAAAATTAATAACGATATCCAGGACTTGAACTCAGATCTGGAACAAGTAAACGTAATTAACATTTATAGAACTCTCCACTTTACACAAAATATACACTTATCAGTACCACATCATATCAACTTAGAAGTTTAAATGAAATGTTGGTTGGCTCCTTGTTTGTTACTCTCTTCCCTCATTTTCTTTCATGTCTCCATTATCAAGGACAATTATAGGCATACCCATATTTAGACTGCATTCTAGCCCGGGCAGCAAAGCAATACCCCCATTCTCTCTCCCTCTTCCTCTTTCTCTTTCTTCCTCTTCTTTATTCTTTTTCTTATTATTCTTTTTCTCAAAAAAAAAAAAAAAAGAAATTCCATTTGACCCAGCAATCCCATTACTGGCTATATATCCAAAGGATTATAAATCATTCTACTGTAAGGACACATGCACACGAATGTTCATAGCAGCACTGTTTACAATAGCAAAGACCTGGAACCAACCGAAATGCCCATCGATAGTAGACTGGACAGGGAAAATGTGGTACATATACACTATGGAATATTAGGCAGCCATCAAAAACGATGAGTTCATGTCCTTTGTAGGGACACGGATGAACCTGGAAATCATCATTCTCAGCAAACTGACACAAGAGCAGAAAATTAAACAGCGCATATTCTCACTCCTAGGCAAGTATTGAACAATTAGAATACATGGACACAGGGAGGGGAGCACTATACACTGGGGTCTGTTGGGGGGAAATGGGGGAAGGACAGGCAGGTGGGGAGGTGGGGAGAGATAGCATGGGTAGAAATGTCAGATATAGGTGAAGGAGGAAGGCAGCAAATCACACTGCCATGTGTGTACCTATGCAACAATCTTGCATGTTCTTCACATGTACCCCTATGTTAAAACATAAAATGCAATAAAAAAAAATAAAAAAATAAATAGTGCCCAATTCCAGGAAAAAAATGAATGCTACCTGAAATGAGACTTAAGCAAGGATGACCCAGTAAGGAAGAATTAACAGTTTCGTGGTTGAAAGAAGTTCCTAGTGTCAATAAAACCAGAAGGAGCTTTATTCTGCAGAGAACGCCACTGCAGACCACAGAAATCACTACAGATTACAGAAAGAATGAAATGTAACAAAGAATTTTCCTTCCCCCAAGGATCATGCCTTTTGTATTGTAAAACCACCCCTCCAAAATAAAGATGGAACACGTTTTACAACAGATCTTTTATTACCTCCCAAATCTGCAGATTGGGAGAGCCCCAAGAAAACTTTTTTTAAAAAAGAAATTAACTATCTTAGAGGAAATCTCTTTTAAAATTGAATATAATCATAAATTTTCTTTAAAGAGAACATAATTTAAAGCATTTTTAAAAAAGATTTAAGATTAAAATTTGTTATATGCTCTAATGTAGCCATTGTTAACACTCACAGAAGTATAAAGTGCACTCCTTTCTACATTACACAGTCCTAAACAATTTTGTCTTTCATGTTTTAAGTTATCTATTTCTTGCTTTGTTATTGACTTAAACTTCAGGCGATTATTAATACGGTGGCCTGGGCCAACTTTTCTTTTCAGTTCTAATGTGTTACAGGTATAGGAATCAGATAGAATTCTGCATAAAATAAAGCTCAAGGCATTGATTTCAGAGGGTTTAGGCAAAAAATTTTAAATGTGATCTATTTTGAGTATTCAGAGTCTTTTTTAGCCTACTTCATGGCTGTCACCTTTGTTTTTGGATAATGAATTACTGCTCTTTCTGAGCTCCCTGCATTGGTTTTTTAATCAAAGACAAAAATATCATAAAACGTAAATGGGGACTTATAAAATTCAAAATATTATATATAAAAGACGATTGGTCCATTATGACATTTTGTTCATTTTTCACAGGGCAGTGGGCCTATTTGTTTTAGTGTACCACAAAATAAGTATACTTAAATTCTTACTATTAGAGATTAATTTTTTTGTTTTCACAGCATCCAGTACATAGAAGGCATACTTGTAAACACTCACTACATTGAACTGACATGTTAGAGGTCATACAGCTCTTGCCAGTCCTTGACCTTTACTGAGAGAGAGAGAGAGAGAGAGAGAGAGAGAGAGAGAGAGAGAGTGTGTATGTGTGTGTGTGTGTGTTTGGGAGGTGAAATGATGGTTGTATTTTAAACAAACATTGCAGGTGATTCTGTTGAAAATGGAAACATTGTGGAAACACTGCCCTCTGTAATTCTGTGGGATGTGGTAGCCAGAAATAAAGATAGAGCTAAGCTGCAAAGTAAGGGAAAAGTAGAGAACAAGAGAGTTCAAAATGCATGGAAAATATGATAAAGAATTCATGAAGGTCACAGAAGTGCATGGGACAATGATGAAAAGGTATATATTAACTGGCCGAAGACAAGAAGGAAACAGCCACTGAGAATGTTAACACTGATGCAGGAAAAAAAAAAAAAGGTTAATAAAAAGAAATATGTTATGGATGCTTGGGAAATCCATAAAGTCAAAATTAGCTACATGTAGGGCTACTCTTTAACTCAATGGGCAGGACAAAGAATACCAACAGAAAGAACCACATACCTCTTGCAATCAAGAGAATAAGTGCTATAGCTAGCAAATAAGGATTTAAGCTATGACCTGGGTATGACATTTAAAATAATATCCTGTTAAAATCATGATTACAGGGTAAACCCAGGCCTTGCTGAGGTAAAGTACTGAGAGTGCACTTGTAACTACCTGCTTATCCATGGATTTTACTGTACCATCTCTGTGCACTATAAGACTCTGCACTGTTTCTAAACTGAGCAAGTTTAGAAACAATAGGAAAAGTATGGACACCCAAAGGCACCATCCAGGCTCTCCCGGTATTGTTCAGTGTATTAAAGTACTTAAGTACCTTTAAGGAATCACTCCTCTCCAGGAGAACATGTCACATTCTACCTACAGGGAAAATGGTACCAGTGACCCACCCTTGCAGAAATACTGCTCTTTCTGAGCTCCCTGTCCCAACCTCTGTGCTTCATACTGCATTATTTCCATTTCCCTGGCCACTGCTCCTACTGTACATCTACCATTTCATCATGAATTTTCCCCTGTAGCTCAATGCACCATCAGCTTCTTCCAGTGTTTGACATCATTTCTCCTTCATTCAAGGCTGAGTCTCATAGTAATAATGCCCATGCAAAGCCAGCCCCAGGTACCTTCTGGATGCCACAGCACATGACCTACCTGGCATAATCTTTGAAGGAGAAACATAATGTTCTTCTCTTCCCACCCAGTCTTCTCACCCTGCTCCCTTCTCTGAAAGATAATGGTGACGAGCTACTTAAATAGGAAAATGACCTGAAAGCCTTCTGTTTGGAACTTACCTTAGGCTCACTTTGCTATACTTTCCTAAGAGTGATTCAGCTGAAACTGCAAACCACTCTTAAGATAACTGTGGGTGGTAACCCTAACTTACCAGCATAACTTGGCTGATTAACATTTCCGCCTTGTTTTATATAATGACGAACAAGACCAGCATCATCGTGCAGAGCAGCCTGATATACTAAGTTCTCTCCAAAAATGTTTCTCCGATTAATGCTGGCAAGATGTATTTTTTTCACCTTCATTTTTTCTGAAATGAGGGAATGAACAAAAGAAAAAAATCATTATTTGAATATAAAAAGGAATACAGATTACAAACCACAGATTTCAAACTACAAACCTCACGAACATAGGTAACAGGATTAACTCAGAAAACAGTCTAGAAGTGAAGTATAGTATATTATGAGGATATTCATCCATTAACCCAACTATATACAAATAGGAAAAAGAGACAAATGTCACTAATTTAAAAATATTTGAAGTAAACTATAAATCATGATAAACACTATATGTTAACTGAAAACTCATGAAAGGTGTATATATGAGAAGACTAACAGATTATCTTCTTAAAAGTTCTGGTGAAAAGGATTATCTAAACCTAGAATAATATATTATCAAATTTAATAAAATGTTATATTAACAAATGTCTTATAAGACCATGAGGAGAAGAATTTCAGAGGCGTATATGACAAAAAAAAAATACTAATCCCAGCGAGACTGGAAAAGGGAATGCAAAATTTTCTTTCTTTGCTAAAAGTAGATTAATGAAATTAAGCAGAGAACCATAGCCTTGATCTTTGCAATTTTTATTTACTAAGCCAGAAATGCATGATTAAAATACCTTTCCAGATAATGTATACCAAGTATCAGTTCTCCACTGTGCCTCCTAAAATACTGAAGCTCCTCATTCATATGCTCCAAATCCTGTCAATTTGGATGGCAATACTCATTTGGATTTTCTGATTTTCAGAATAGCTTGATATCCAATTTTTATCCAGCTAACCTCCTCATCCTAAAACCTTACAAAGGAAACGGAGTACTGCAGCAGCTTTCTTTTCTTTTTTTAAAGACGGGATTTCACCATGTTGGTCAGGCTGGTCTTGAACTCCCGACCTCAGGTGATCCGCCAGTCTTGGCCTCCAAAGTGCTTGGATTACAGGCATGAGCCACCATGCCCGGCCTGCAGCAGCTTTCTTAATGGACTACATATCAATTGCCTTGCCTTTTGACTCCCTTGATTCAGCCCCACTGTAAAACAAACCAAACTCGTGAACTTTGAGTCTGCCTTTTTGTACACCAGAATACAGAGTGTTATTTTCCCACTAGACAAACTGTATGCTTACCATAATCAGAGCAGTCTTTACTTCCAAATCTGTCTGTGCCAGTTGCACTAGTTATAATTATATAATTATATAATTACCTGACATGTAAAAAGGGTACTTATTTAATGTATACAATTCAATACACTTGAGGACAAGAATATACCCATGAAACCATCACCACCATCAAGGCCATAACATATATCTCCTGTTCTTTATCCTTACTGTTTCATAAAAGCTTCTTGCATACTAATACAATTAAACCCTTGTCGAATGATGCTAATATTTCTTGGCTATTTGATATTTGATTCTTCTTTAGGGTATATTTCTATACAATTTTAAAATGTATGTAGTTAATTCCATCATTCTTTAAAAGAATCTTACCATTCTTTTAAATGTATGTAGTTAATTTTATGATTTTAAACTCAGAAACCAAGAGGGTTTAAAAACACTTTTTCCACACCAAGGTAACAGCAAGATTCACTTATGTTTTCTTCTATAACTTTTATTTTTTGTTTAAATCTTTGATCAATCTGAAATTAAAGTTAGTGTAAAGAATGTTATAGGGATCCAATTTTGTGTTTTTCACTATTTATTGCTTAGTCTTTCTTTTCACCACAATTTGAGATGCCATCTATATTACATATCTGTCCCACATCTTACTGTAGCTGGCATCTACATCTAAACTCTTCTGTTTCATTGATTTATCTGTCTACTCCTGCTTCAGTGTCAAATGACTTTAATTTCTGCAGCTTTCTAACATTCTCTCATATTACGGAAAACAAGGTCTTGCCACTCTAACTTTCTGCTTTTATTCTGCTTTTATTCTTCAGAATTTTCTTGGCTAGTCTTTCATATTTACTTTTCTAGGTGATGTTTAATATTTAAAACTTTCTCATAGCTACTCTCTATCCCTGTAGAATCAATACAAAATAAAAATTTTAAATTAGCAAATAAATAAAAATCTGTTTTTGATGAGATCTCATGCATTTATAGTACAATTTAGGGAGAACCTTCTTACAATCCTGAATCTTTCTGGTCAAAAACAAGGTTCTTATTTCCATTTATTCAAGCATTTTTTATGTCCCTCAGTAGAATTTTTTTTTTTTTTTTTTGAGACGGAGTTTTGCTCTTGTTACCCAGGCTGGAGTGCAATGGCGCGATCTCGGCTCACCGCAACCTCCACCTCCTGGGTTCAGGCAATTCTCCTGCCTCAGCTTCCTGAGTAGCTGGAATTACAGGCACGTGCCACCATGCCCGGCTAATTTTTGTATTTTTAGTAGAGACGGAGTTTCACCATGTTGACCAGGATGGTCTCAATCTCTCGACCTCGTGATCCACCCGCCTCGGCCTCCCAAAGTGCTGGGATTACAGGCTTGAGCCACCGCGCCCGGCCAGAATTTTTAAACTGTTTTCTCATAAGGATGATACATTTCTTATTGGTTATAAAAAGTATTTTTTTTGTGTGACAATAAGTGAGATAATATCTTATATTTTCTAACAAGCTAACACATACATATATGTGAAAGGCATTAATTTTTGACTCCAGCTTATTGCATTTTTAAAACTTTTGAAATAATTTCAGACTTACAGAAAAGTTGTAAAAGTAGAACAAATCACTCACCCCTTGTTAACATTTTGCCACTGACTTTAAATCATTCTTTCTTCCTGTTTATATATAATACATATGCTATCCAGATACATGTATACATAAAAAGTAACTTTTATACATCATGCCCTTTTCCCTCACTAAATGTATATTTCTAAGGACAAAGATGTATGCTTATATAACCACAGTATTATCAAATTCAGAAAACTTACCTCTGATTCAATATTATTTTTTCATCTACAATCCATATTTCAGTTTTGCCAGTTGTTCTACTAACTATTATTTTTTAAACAGTGTTTCTAAATTCTCTTATTGCTTCTGAGAGTTGTTTAGTTCAATCTTTTGGATATTACAGGAACACAGAAATGAGGTCTAAGAATAATAACAGTTGTGCCTTGTCCTTTCCTTTATTCCTCCTGATATGATTTTTCATAGCCATATCCTAGGTTAATTACACATGTAAATTTTAAAAGAGGTATGTAACTACTCCCTCCAAAGTAGATTTATAGAAAAAAACACTAACCTATGAGTCAGAAGTTCAAGATCAATTCTCAATTATGCTACTAATGAGCTGTATGATGCTGGGAAAAACCTTTAATCTATCTGAACTTCAGTTTCATCATTAGTAAAATTAAAACGTTGAGAAAGATAATCTCTGAATGCTTTCTACCAAATTTCTGTTTCTGTAAATTACTCACTTAAACAAAGAGAAAAATACTCAAAATAAGTATCACCTTTTCTTCCTGAAAATTGTTCATTTTTCCTGATCATTTTTCCTCCACTCTTGAACCTGGTTGAATGCATATTCTTCTTTTTACCATCAGTCATTAAAGCCGGATCCTGCAGTCTTGAAAAATGATGTACTTTTTTAAAAGGCTATAATGGTTTCTACAAACATTCACAGAGAATTATATCAAATTTTGACTATAATTTTAAAACTCCAGGGTATTTTACTGAGCTGTTCTCAAGTGGTATGGCAGTTTTAAATATGGAGATGGTTCCTAAAGGTAATTCTGCAGCAGGCATGCCAGTCATCATGGCTTCTAGCCCTCTCTTTGCACTACCTATGAGTTTCTCTTCTTTAGGATTAGTCATCTACAGGTATAAGTATTCTGAATCTCCTGCTTTTCAATCCCCAAGTTGGCATGCCACTATCCACTCTCTTCACCCTTTAAAGAAAAACACGCAGGCTCTTTGCCTTGCTTGCTGTGTGGTATGGCACTGATCAAAAACTGCAAAATAAAAAAAGCAACGACATAAAAAATAAAGCTCTTTACCCTGTGTTACCTGTATACTGACCCTAATGTCCCCAAGCATATGATTATCTATAATGTCTATAGCATACCTGGAGATAAAGACATAATTTCATAGCATACCTGAAATTCTGAGTTGAAGAGTCTGTTAAGTCCTCACAGCCAAGGATTTTTGGTAAAATCTTTTCTGGCACCTTATACATGTGATCTGAGTACTTTGCATCTCTGTTTATTTTCAGTTTTTCTAGTCTGGATGATCTCCTTAACACAAATGCAGTTTCCTGGTCAGAGCTATTTGTCACTAAATTTGAATTTCTATTATTACTTAGTGGTTGACAAGAAGTGATATTTTGATGAGTCAAAGTTTGCAATCCAGATGGATTTGGGTCTTGTAGAGTCTGCAAATATGTAAATATACCCACAAACAATTACAAAACTGCAAAAAAATTAAAACTGTAAGAAGTTAAATTTTGTCTTGACCATTGATTAAATTAAAATGCCTCTTACAGGATGCAAGTACAAGAATTCATAGACATGAACATAATGAAAGATTTTATAATAATTAATGTAATAAAGGACAATGCAGATTTAAAAGCTTAAGAGTATAAGTAAAAATGATTTGATCAATATTTACCTTGAAAATTCAAGAGCAAAACTATGGTCACTCTGAGAGCTTTAATTTTGCAAGAAATCGGAATGTAGAATGATGAGAGATCCACGAAAACATTACAAATGTCACACTAGGCTAGATCAATGGTCCATTCAGCCTAGGGTTTTGTTATCTGATAGCAGCAGTAAGTGATATTTTGTGGAACAAGATAGTACATAACCTCCATTACACTGACTTTAAAAGGTTAACAGTATATCAGGGATTGTTACTTTCCCTTAATAATTCATTATAGATTTCACTTCCATAACCATATGTATTCTTTATACATATCATCTAAACCTTTCTTTAGTTTACTTACATATCCATCTTCCAAAGCTTCTCAAGGTAACAAGTTCAACATTTTTATTATAGCTGAGTATTTCATTTGATCTGGTCTAAGTAAGTCTCCTTTCTACTTAAGAGGGTTTCTTTTTTCTTTCCTAATGAAGACTTGCTAAATTCATATTCACTTTATTAGTACCAATCATAATTTCCTACACTTTACTCATATTCCCTCTTTTTGTATTAGAACACTGGAATGTATAATCTTCATGCCCTATCTCCATAATTGGTTTCTCTTTTTCTGGATTTTAAAAAATCCTATGTCAGTTTTGAGATTTGTTAACCAGAACTTCATGCAGTATTATTCCAGGTATGTGTGCTGCAACACAAGCTCAGCATTTTGTTACATAAATCTTCATAAGGATATACACAGAAACATTTTGGTAATCAGAAGATAAAAAGAAAAGAAAGAAAACAATCAAAACGACCATCATCAGTGAATTAGTTAAATAAATTACAATATATTCACACAGTGGAATACTATTCAGCAAATTAAAAGATTTAAGTAGTGCTATGTTTGCTGACATTGAAAGATAAACAAGATACATTATTAAATTTAAAAAATAAGTTGGAAGGCATTACATATAATATAATCTCATTAGTATAAAATGAACTAATATAGAATATGATAGAAATAATTGGAGACAGATACACCAAACTGTTAACAGTAATTATCTCTAATGAGTGAAACTGTGGAGGATTTTTGTTACTGTATTATTATGTCATTCTGTAAGGTTTAAAATTTGTTTTGTAATGAAGATGCATTATTATTATAATCAGGAAGAAAAAATAAAGATTATGTTTAAAAACAAAGAAACTGTTGGCCGGGTATGATGGCTCACGCCTATAATCCCAGCACTTTGAGAGGCTGAGGCGGGTGGACCACGAGGTCAGGAGATCGAGACCATCCTGGCTAACACGTTGAAACCCTGTCTTTACTTAAAAATACAAAAAATTAGCTGGGCATGGTGGCACACATCTGTAGTCCCAGCTACTTGGGAGGCTGAGGCAGGAGAATTGCTTGAACCCGGGAGGCTGAGGTTGCAGTGAGCCTAGATCGTGCCATTGCACTCTAGCTTGGCACCTGGCAGCAGGGCAAGACTCTGCCTCAAATTTAAAAAAAAGAAAAAAAAGAAACTGTCAATATGCAAAGGGACTTTGTGAGTGATAGGCCACTACAGGGCTCCAGGCATAATACCACAAGAATTCTAAACCCCAAGAGCTATGCCGCCTGGCAGTATTTGTAGACATAGAAGGCAAAATTCTGCTTAAGCTAGGCATATTTTTTTCCCTCCCCTAGCATCCCAACTGCATATATTCTATGTCAAAATGTAAATTAATGTGGGGTATCCCATCACTACTCTGCACCCAAGTAGACATAGTGATTTTTTGAGCTAACAAAGAAAATTTTAGTATAGAATTTCTTTCCTTCCTACATATAAGCAATCTAATGATACGTCTTCTCAGGCCTCTTGGGAAAAACTCTGTTTAACTTCCTAACTCCTTGGAAACTCTACCCTAGGAACTTCTAAAAAGATCACTCTATGCTTCCAAGTCACAAAGTATCTTCTGGGTGTTGATATTTGTGTAGATTTGATTTCAACACAATTATAATTTCTTGAACTTTACTATAAAAGGCAAAATCATAGAATCATATTTTCAGCTACTTGCTCCACTCAAAGATGCTTATCCTACAGCTCAGCTAACTTGGAACCATGTTCAAACGGTGGAGTAGAACAAAGAAATTCAAAATTCACCTCTGCTATTTGTGTACAATCTTCATGGATCTGAGACATATTGAACTCCACTTCTAAACATTCATTTCTAGCACTGAGACTGCTACCTCCCTCTTTTCTATGACAGATGGTTTCCACCTTGGCTTCTGACAATGTGTTCAGGGCTTCTAATAATTCAGCTGGCAATGCATCATCCTTCACATTTTCTTGTAAATCTCTGTGACATGACGACCATGCATTCAAATGTATTGATATGGAACTCAGAGAGTCACTCAATGGGTTCATCAATTCTTTAGGATCAAAATCACTTACTAATTCAAACAGTCTTTCCTCCTGGGTGCTTTCTGGTGATGTGAGTAACCTTTCTAAGGCAGACACAAAGGTTTCAAGTGAGCTTTCTTCATCCTTAGTTTCTTCAGAAGTCACGGTCAATGTGACTTCCTTTCTAGGCTCAAAAAATGGATTTGGTTCTGCTAAGATCTTCTCTGGCTCTATTATTGATGTCTCCTTTACAGTAACCGTATCAGATACTATAATAGCAGTGCCTGAGAGAAGGCTAACTTCAGGAGAATTTCTGCCTTCACTTAGTTCCTGTGTATTACAAATAGAAATTACATCATTATAGCATATACAATAAAGTATTTAAAATGAAAACTTTATAGTTTTATAGTTTATCTTGTTTGTAAGTTACCCTCAAAATTTATTACCAACTTTCCTTCCCTTCCATAAATAAAGACAATTTTATTGCTTTCCTATACCAAATCACTAATTACTAAATACATGGTTAAACATTTAATAATAGACCAACAGTAAAATTGGCTGGACTGTAACTATAATGGCAAATTATTCATCTAAGTTTAAATTATCTGTGCTAACAGAAGAAGCAGAGATGGCATTGATAGTTAAATTAACAGATTATCTCAAAGCTTCATAGCAATTAATGGTTATAAAATTCTTTCTTGCAAAAATTTCCTATTTGGTTTATAAAGAATAAAATTTTACCTTCTTTTTATTTGCCTACCTTTGTATGAATAACTAAATGTGGAGTAAACAGGCCAAAGGACAAGAGGTGAGAGGGAAAAGGTAGAAAAATGAGGGTACAGTTCTATATAAATATTACAAGCCCCAGCTATAAATTAATGGCTCTGAGTTGTGGTTATAGTAAGCAAACAAAAAACACAAAACATTTCTAAATGACTATTATTTCTCTAAGACATCACCTTAATAGGTATACCTGTTCTCACAATATTTCTAAGACTCAAAATATTGTTAGAATCCGTCTTTTGAAATTGCTTTCAGAATGAGTTTATTAGCCATTCAAGAAAATAATGTGCTTTAAAGGGGCTGAAAATATTTTGAACACTAAATACTTTTTATTGGCCTTAAATAACAGAATGGGTTTCAATGACTAGCTTTTTCCGAAAAATCAAATCCACCATACCTTTGACAGGATGTGCTGTAATTTGTAAGCCTTCTAATATTCTGATCTAACATAAGTGAGAGAAGCAAAACCACTTTATTCTTCCTCCTGTCCTTTTCTACCTGCCACCTTTATCTATTCCACGTTTATTAATACTATACAGCACTTAAGAATGCTAACTATAATTTTCTCAGAAAGATCAAAGGAATCTGGAATAAATTCAAGAACCAAATCCTACTTACTCTCTAAGTCTCAGTTCAAGGTCTTGCACCTATTCGAAGTCCTTATGACTACTAAATTCAAAGCACCAGGTGAAATAAAGTATATATATTGGGCTCTGTCTTAAAAGAACTTATTTCTAACTTAAGATTCAAGACATAAATATCAGAGATATTAAATAGAAGACAAATAATGTCATAGAACACTTACGAAATCAAATGAATGGCATAAGCTAGTGTATATGAAACAGTTCCATTTATAACCACAGAACTGTCCAAACTGGCCCTACTTTGTTGGTAACAGAACGTCAAGTCATCTGGCAGGTATAACAGCCAAAACTGCTAAGTCATGTAGCACAGTCAGAACCTTGAACCAAGAAGACTGAGAAATGACCCCCTGTCCCCCTAAACCAAAAAGACTGAGAAATAACTGGAACCTGAACACTGGAACTCTTTCTGAAGCAAGAAGTTTGCTGGCTGGGAAGATTTGGAGCTAAAATCCGCCTAAATATACCTTATCGTAAATGGTCAAATTTGAAGCCTTCTAATCACACTCTGCAAGCCAACATTCCTAAATCCTTTCCCTTACCTTCTGACCCCTTAAAACTTCTTCCAGACCCAAAATAGAGGAGACAAATTTGAGCTGCCTCTCCTGTCTCCTTGCTGGCTTGTCTCACAATAAAGCCTTTTTTTCCCCCCCTCAAAAGTCAGTGCCATAGCATTGGCTTTTATGCACATCAGGCAGCAGGCCCATTTGCTTGATAAATATGAAGGCTAGTGTCTTGCAGAAATGAGATTTCTGGGGAAGAAAAAAATGGAGGCAGTGGAGGGCTTTCGTGATTGTGTGAAAAATACTTGGTTGAGCAAAGTTAAACAAGTTACTTTACAACAGGACTTTCCAAACCATGTGCATTGGGAAACTTTAGGACACAGTGTTCTCCAAACATTTTTGTCCAAAAACATCCTTTTCATCAGTAGGTCTATTAATATCATAGAGTACAAGTGATTTGGAAATAATGATATAGTCAGTAAACAATGAATACTAGAGAGGGAGCAATTACTTTGGTCAAGATCACCAGAGTTATCTGAAATAGATCACAGAAGAAAAGGTATTTGAGCCAGAAATTAAAGATTTGTGAAGGAGTGAAAGAATGGAGGAATACACATTTACTGAGCACCAACTAGGTGCCAGACACCATGAACCATCACTGCTCGGTCCTCACAATACCTATAAAACAGCTATTGCTGTCCCTATCTTGCAGATATAAACAGTTATCCTTGGAACCTAGACCTTTCTGGTTTCCAAATTTTATGTTATTTTTCATCTTCTGGCTCCTGATTTGAGAAAAGCATGAAGGCAGGAATGCGTAAGGTCTGGCTGAGATAAGGTAAGGCACAGAGACAACTCTGGGCAAGATGCTGAGACCCAGTATCTACAAAACAATTAAAAGAAAAAATTAGCTGGGCATGGCAGTATAGGCCTGTAGTCCCAGCTAGCTACTTGGGAGTCTGAGGCGAGAGGATCTCTTGAGCCCAGGAGTTCAAGATGGCAGTGAACTATGATTGCACAACTGCACTCCAGCCTGGGCAACAAAGTGAGACTTTACCTCTAAAGAAACAAACAAAACAAACATAAGGTATGGGTATACTGGGCCAGCCTAGGGAGGTCCTTGATTGCCCGGTATCCCTAAGGAAATAATGAGTTCATTGTGGGCAGAGCCATTCCTGTGGTCCTCTGATTCTCCATAGCTCCAAGTACAAAGCAAATCCAAAGCAGGCACTTGATACTTATTAGCAACTAGAGGATGAGAAAATAGAATTTAGCACAAAATATTAAAGGAACTAGGGTAACAGACAAACCAACAGAAGGAACTTTGCTATAGTATCTCAGGAACTAGCTTGATAACAAGTTATATATTTCTACTCTAGATAAAGAATAAGAGACTTCCAGTACTAGATAAGAAATGCAGATCAAGAAAATGCTTTTATTAGCAATAAGAAAAAATAAATATGGAAGAGGTGATTAGACAAGAAAAGATTTCTATCTACTGAAATGGTTTAGTCATATTCCTGCCTAAGGGAGGGTCTAAATGAGCTTGATACCTTAATCCATATTATTTTTTTAAAAATTTAAATCCACAATCTACATAGTTAATTTGGTATACAGACTAACCTTTTCCATGTGTGGCAAAACTTCAGGACTTTCAGGTTCAGGCCCTAGAAAAGAACAATACCTTTTAAATCCAGGTATATGAAAGCACTAAAAACATACCTTCTCAGTTGGCATTTTATAATCATGTAACTTAAACTCCCTCAGTCAACTGACACAACAAATATTTCATTAATATTAATGAATGCTTGCTTCTGGTTGTCCCACCTTTCCAGACAGAACCAATGTACATCTTCATCTTACACATATTGATTGATGTCTCATGTCTCCCTAAAATGTATAAAACTAGCTGTGCCCTGACCACCTACGGCACATGCTCTCAGAGTCTCCTGAAGGTTGTGTCACACAGGCCATGGTCACTCATATTTGGCTTATAATAAAATTATTCAAATATTTTACAGAGTTTGACTCTTACCATTGAAAAAATGATCATTCTTTGATTCCAATAGTTACTATTTTAAAAGCTTAATTAATAAAATATTTTGCTGGGCATGGTGGCTCACGCCTGTAATCCAAGCACTTTGGAGGCCAAGGTGGGCGGATTACCTGACGTCAGGAGTTCAAGACCAGCCTGACCAACATGGTGAAACCTCATCTTTACAAAAAAAAAAAGAGAGAAGGGAATGAACCTATTCCTGCAATTAAGGCACTAATTCGTTAATGAAAGCAGAGCCCTCATGGACAAATCACCTCTCATTATTCCTGTAAAACAAGCATATAAATACACTATGTATTATAAAATATTTTATAGTAATTTAATTACTATATTAAAAATAAACACATTTAGAGGGAATTACCTTTTCTAACCACAAATTTTACTTAAAAGTTTTTACAAATACACAAAGAATTCTTGAATTCCTGTCTATCCCTTAATAAATCATTTAACAAAATCATTAAATCATAAATTTTCAAATTTTCTGCTTGTCACTTTAGAGAGGCAAAATCTAATGGTATACATGAGAAATAATTCTAAAGCATTAAATTCAAAGAAAATGGCCATAGAGGCCTGGTTGAACTTATACACAAAATTTAACTTATACACAGGTATTTTAAGGCCAAAGCTATTATATTTGCTTAAGATAGTTGGCTTATCTTTATCTTTGTACAATTTGGTTAGACTTTACCCTTTGAATTGGGACAGAGGTCTGTATTAGAACACAGCTATAAAAGCTAACAATTTAATGATTTACTTGTATGTGATTTAACTTATGGTCTGGAATTATAATAAAATGAGCTTCTTGTTCTGAATACTCTGAAAGGAGTAAAGGCAAGAGGGAGCTGCAATGAAGTGCCAGAATGGAAGAGAACTACCAATTCTATGGCTCTCTAGTCACAGCAGCTTTAGGGCAGCAAGAAACATACAAAGCAATAATCCTGGTACATGTGGCACTATTTTTTCATTTTTTAGAGATGGGCATCTTGTTTTGTCGCCACAATCATAGCTCACTGCCACCTCAAATTCCTGGGCCCAAAAGAGCCTCCCAACTCAGCCTTCCTAATTCCTGGGACTACAAGGATACACTACTTCACCTGGCCATGTGGCACTTTTAAAGGAACAGCCTCTGAGACTTATGACTCAGAAGTTTATAGAGAGTGGTGACAACAGTCCACAGATGCCAATGGCATCACAATGCTGGCACTTAGGAGGCCAAATGGGCAGGAAGTTAGAGTTATGGGAATATAGGACATAAGGAACCCTGTTTTAAAATAAATACTAGAATTGGGTATGAGAAAAATAAAAATAAATTTTTGTCTAACTATTGATGACAGCTGTTATGGTCGAAACCCAAAGGAGAGGCCGGGTGCAGTGGTCTACCATAATCCCAGAACTTTGGGAGGCTGAGGCAGGTGGATCACATGAGGTCATGAGTTCAAGACCAGCCTAGCCAACATGGTGAAATCCTGACTCTAATAAAAATACAAAAATTAGCTGGGCATGGTGGCGTGTGCCTACAATCCCAGCTACTCAGGAGGCTGAGGCAGGAGAATCACTTGAATCCCAGATGTGGAGGTTGCAGTGAGCCAAGATCATACCACTGCACTCTAGCCTGGGCAACAGAGAGAGGCTCCGTCTCCAAACAAAAAAAAAAAACCCAAAGGAATGCCCGGGGCATGATATTATCTATGACACCTCTGTCTCAAATTGTTCAATACATCCTTAAAGAAAAAAGGACTTCAGCCTCTAAGATGACATTATATAGGTTTATAAACGTGACTCTTTTTGTTTAACCTATAACTACATCTTGTAAAAAGTGCGAAATATGTCTTAACTAAATTTGGAGGGTATTTTTGGTATAGTCTGAATTATATTAGGCCATTTGATATTTATTAAACTTTTAAAAATCACAAAGTCTTTTATATTTAAAGAGGAACATTAATTACCACTTGTACTTATGTTAGTTTAATGGTCAATTTATTAAACTTCTGTATCTAAGTCATGAAAACTTGAAATTACTATTTAACATTTAAACACTGCTAACAAACTTAGATTTCCTTAAACCATTTAATCTAAACATTTGACATAACTTTTTACCACTTCAAATATACAAAAGCTCTTAAATGAATTCTAAAATAACAGGATCACTGGTGTAATTCATTCTTCTTTATTTCTGTATTTCTGTATTTTTTATTATACCTTCTTAAGATTAAAGTAATAACTTACTTTGATATCTTCCCCGAGTTACAGACTACCTGGTTGGGGTATGAGACTATTTCTCTCAAGATGATTTCAATCTGAGTAACCAATTATCTGGCTTTACTTATAAATAAATGCCTTAAACTTCATAAATTTTATTTTTTGTAATACAATGTTTTGGCCCAGAATGCTTTAAGTTTTACTTGGTCAGTATTACAAAAGCTTTTGTCTTGTCATTTATTATGTACTGATCTGTTATGCAGTGTTATTAGAAACTTATGCTTGCCATTTAGTATCTTTCTTTTTTGAGATAGGGTCTCCCTCTGTTGCCCGGGCTGGAAACATGACTCACTACAGCCTCAATCTCCTGGACTCCTGGGCTCAAGCTGTCCTGCTGCCTCAGCCTGCTGAGTAGGTGAGACTATAGGCATGCACCACCATACCTGGATTTTATTTTTTGTGTGGTTATGGGGATCTTGCTGTGCTTCCCAGGCTGGTCTCGAACTCTTAAGCTCAAGCAATCATCCTGGCTCAGCTTCTCAAAGTGCTGGGATTACAGGTGTGAGCCAACACACTCAGCCCATTAAAACTCTTAAACATCCTGTTATAGTTGCTTTTCTTTTTGTATTGAGACAATCTTTTGTACATGCTTAACATTTTTTGAGTATCATTATAAACTCATAGTCTTTTCACAAACTTATTTCCATGAACTCTAAATTACTGGGTTTTTATCCCTACTTAATTTACCAGTTTGGCCAGTTTATCACAGTTTGGCCACAGCACCATTGAGCTAACCATTTATTCTTCCAGCAATGGCCCCAGACATCCTTGAAGGCATCCTTGCTTTTCAGCAATAATTGTATATTCAGACTCATCTTGATATTGTCATGCTCTAAAATGGATCAGCAACCCTTTAAGAATCCCTGGTTTATTTGGCACTCCCACCCTTAGCACCCATATACCTGGTATATAGTAGTCTTAATACATATTTGTTAAAGAATAAACAACATTAAAGACCAAACTCTAGACACTAAAAGTACATGTAAGAGCTGGTGGTGAGCAAAAGTGGTACTGCTTTGCTGCTGTAGCAACAGAGCAAGAGAAGACAGAGCTTTTTAAATTTATCTTTCCAAAATGTTATTATGTCCTTGTGTCCTTTTCTTATAATATAAGGTTTCATTGGACACTATAAATATTTGCTACACTGTGACACAAAATACCTGACATTCACTCTGGAGGAATTGCTGATAGACACCTCAGAGAAATAGATAGCTATCCTCTAATACAGCTCAAACCAAGGCAAAACTGGCCTGTGTGACTACCAGTCAGGAAAGACATGAAATTCTTATTAAAAATGTTATGAACATAGGAAAAAAACTGTTTTCAAATTTCAGTCCCTAAATCACATTTGGAGTAGCAGATACTAACTTCACCTAAGCTGCTACTCCCATAGGTAACTCTATGAAGCATGATCCAAGTCAATAGCAACACTGATTTCATATTTATGAATGTATAGTAAGCCAGGCTCAGTAGAGCATGCCTATAGTCCCAACTACTCGGGAGGCTAAGGCAGGATAATTTGCCTGAGCCCAGGAGGCCAAAGCTACATAGCAAGACCCATCTCTACCAAAAAAAAAATGTATATAGAGATATATATGTGGTTGACCAGCCTAGTTATAAATAAATATATATCTAACTAAGTCTTATATTTTTAGGCAAAGACTAATTTCCTTCATATGACTCTAACCATGAAAACATACCTTCAATATTTTGGTGGTTCGATGAAAGTCCAGACTGGGGAAATGACCCAAAGAACATTGAACAATTTTTTCTAGTCCTAAAAAATCAATTAATTAATAAAAAATAAATTTTAAAATGAAAGAAAAAACAGTGTTTCTCATTCAAATACAATTTAATTTTTCTTTTTCATTTAAAGGGCTTTCCAAATAGGATCATTTTTTTGCTACATCATTCTAATTATTTTTACAATCATTATCAATTTGTTAACATTGACATTTCAAGTAACTGGAAAAATGAAGGGGAGAGCTGAAAAAACAATGGAGGAACCTAGGAGTGTATACAAGCTAAACTACATTTAGGTCTAAAAGTGACTTTGGAGGTGACTGCCAAATAGGATTAGGAATGTCAGGGAGAAAATGGTCCTGAAACATGTAGTTTGTCTATCTACATCATCAAATACACTGACAGTTTGTCATTATAGTTTGAGACGTAAGCTACAGTCATTAATGATAAATTTCTCCAGGCATTATTTATCGTTCCTGTATTTTACAGCAGGCAAAGAAAAGGTAGGGAATACAGAAGGGAAGATGTTAAAAGCAAAGTAAGGGTCATACCTAATCTGCAATTTTGCTCATCTGCCCCATGATAATTAAAAGTTGAATAAAGAAAGCAATCAGCTAACTATATTTTTTATCAGCCTAATTTACTGCATAAATGTAATCAAGATACCATCCTTTAAAAAAAAAAAAAAGCCTGTTTCAGCTGTTTTAAAAGCAGTTTTTAATGCAGCAGGCACAGCTACTTGAGTCCTATGCAAGAGTAATAAATTAAGCATTCTCTCCTGTACAAAAACAGAAGTAATCAATATAAGCTGTCTTCAAAATAAAAATAAAACTATTTATGTAGAATAATTCCTGAAGCAAATACAAAAGAATGCTGATTTTTTTCCCTAAAGTGTGATTCTTTAAAAACATGCTGATTAAAAACAAAATAAAACCATAGTTTGAGTTAACCACAGAATTTTTCCCTTAATTGCAAAAGAGTATTTAAGATGTAAGTCTGACTATAGAGCAAAGCTTCATCTACATTATTACACATAGTTATTTAAGTTAGGTAAGACTGCAAACAACCTAAATGTCCAGTAGTAGAGGAATAATTAAATGAATTACGGTAAAGTCAGTAATACAATAAAGTATTATAAGGTCATTAAAATTCACATTTTTAAATTAAAGACATGAGAAAATAACTTTGATAAACTATTACTTAACATTTAAAAACAGGACACAAAACTATCTGCAGGATGATCCCAATTGAACAAAAATAAAAATATAAATAAAGCCTAAAGTAAAATGTACCAAAATGTTAACAATAGTTTTCTAGCAGTGAGAATGTGGATGCAATGTTAGTCTTCCTTAGTCTTTTTTCCATTTCTCTAAATGAACTTATAATGTTGGTAGATAGGGCAAAGGGTTATTTTACAACAACGGCAGTTTTCAAATTTTTTGATTTTCAGATTCCTTTATACTCTCAAAAATTATTGGTGGCTTATACTTATTTATATTTACATGTTAGAAACAAAAATGAAGAACAAAATTAAATATTTATTAATTTGTAAATGACAGGAATAATCCAGGAACATATTAAGATATTTTCATGAAAAACTATTATCTTTTCCAAAATGAAAAAAATTAGTGAGAAAAGTTGCAATGTTTCACTTTTTAAAAAATCTCTTTAATGTGTGGCTTAATAAAAGATGACCATCATCCTATATCTGCTACTGCATTCAATCTGTTGCCATATATAATTTTATTTGAAATATATATCAAAAATCTAACCTCACATAGATATGGAGTTGGAAAAGGGAGGAGTATTTTAGTAGCCTTTTTGGATAATTATGAACATTGATTGGGTACAGAAAATACCACAAAATATGGCACTATGGCATGCTGAGTACTCTGAATTTAAGAAAACTGAAAGGCCTGAGAAATAAGCTTCAGAACCAAGATCTCCATTTGACCTTCCCTCTCACCCCTTACCCCAATTATCTGATATTTTCTTTCTTGAAGCACCTGAAGGGACTCTCTCCAGAATTTCCTTATCAGACTGAGAAAACTTCCTCAAAAACATAAAATAAAATGGTCTTAAAATCCCCTCCCTAGGAACCTCATTAAACAACAGGAAAGATTAACCATCAGAGAAAAGACTAAAAGTCTCTAAGGCCAGGCCAGGACACCATATCCAGACAAATTCTATCTATTCTTTTGACAGCAGCTCCAAAAGATTACCCAAGACTTTATCTGCATAAGACAACTTTTATTCAGAGAGTTCTGTCTCTCATCTTCCCACCAAATCCCCTAAAACTTAGAGGAACTTGTCCCAGGCTATTGCTTTTTGGGCATATTCATTTCCCCCAAAAATCATTTGCTGCTATAACCTCCATCTCCTCTTCCCCTATCAAGAATGGTATATAAACATCTGGACCTTACTGGGTTATTGGGTAATCACACTCTTATGATTTTGCCCCATGTACATTAAATAAACTTTATATATCTTTTTATTCTATAAATCTGTCTTTATTTTCAGCAAACTTTCAGTGGGTGGAGAAGACACTTTCCCCCTTCTACCTCTAAAATATTCCTTTTCAATATTATACCAAAATTACATAATCATCAAGTTTCTTAAAAGCACTTTCCTAAAAGTTGCTTACTTAAAATGTAGAAACTGAAACAAAATTAATGAAGCTTTTGTATTCTGTTACATTAAAACCCATGGTCTATCTTACACTTTGAACAGGTCTTTCACCTATACATGATTTTGTAACATCATGCATTGATCTTTTAGAAAATGCTTATCTACTGAGTTATGCACATTTTCCTAATGCTGACAAATTTCATTATAAAATATCAAAAAATCACCTATCAAGTTAAAAAAAAAAAAAGATGAGACCGGTTTTCGTCCAATGCTTACAACCCAAACAAGTGCACAAGTGCTTTACTCAAAATAAATATCACAGCTGCACACAGCGGCTCACACTTGTAATCCTAGCACTTTGGGAGACTGAGGCGGTTAGATCACTTGAAGCCAGGAGTTCAAGACCAGCATGGCCAACATGGCAAAACCCTGTCTCCACTAAAAATACAAAAATTAGCAAATTAGCCAGACAATGTGGCACACACCTAAAGCCCCAGCTACTTGGGAGGCTGGGGCACTAGAATCACTTGAACCTGGGAGATGGAGGTTGCAGTGACCTAAGATCACACCATTGCACTCCAGCATGGGTGACAGAGTGAGACTCTGGTTCAAAAAAAAAAGATAAATATCACATATCAGTATGCACAGAAATGCTTTAAGCATACTTTCCATTTCATCACATGGAATATTAAAAGAATATATACTCAAAGGTGGAGACTTACTAAAACTAATAATCTTCCTGCCTCCTCAAACACCAATTGTGTTAAGTGAAACTGGCTTCTTTTTATTTTTGTAATTGAGAGTACACATCAGTGAAAAAACACAATGACTACTACATTGTTTGGTGCCACTGCCTTGATTCCTAGTAAGACTCCAGCATTTTACCCACCATTACTTTAGAACAATCGTGCAAATGTAAATACCATGAAATAAACAACTAATGTCTTAGTATTATTATGAAAAATAGTTTTGACTTAACAGATCCTCTAAAAGAATCTCATGGACTCCAAAGGGTTCACAGACCATACTCTGAGAACTATTGTTTTAAAAGAACTGAAAGAATAGTTTTTTTCTTTCTTTTTATTTTTTATTATTTTTGAGAGAGTCTCACTCTGTTGCCCAGGTTGGAGTGCAGTGGCACAATCTCAGTTCACTGTAACCTCTGTGTTCCAGGCTCAAGCAATTCTTATGCCTCAGCCTCCCAAATAGTTGGGATTACAGGTGCCCACCAACACACCTGGCTAATTTTGTATCTTTTAGTAGAGATGGGGTTTCACCATGTTGACCAGGCTGGTCTCAAATTCCCGACCTCAGGTGATCCACCTGCCTTAGCCTCCCAGAATGCTGGGATTACAGGCATGAGCAAACACACTCGGCTGAATTTCTTAAGGTATAACAATTGTATGAAGTCTAATTTCACTAAGTTTTACAAATTCTTCCTTCATGCTATGCTTTTATTTATTGGCAGCCCCTTTATAAATTTGCACCTTCAAGCTATGCTTTAAATTCATTCTTAAAATAATAGGATTCAGGTTAATCTGATTCAATGCTTCTTATGAAATAAAACTTACCTAGAATGTGTGTAAAAGAACATATTTTTGCTACATAATGGACAATTATTAAAAAATATACAATTATAAAACCCTTAAAAATGAATACTCATCTTAGATGTACAAAATGACAAAAATACCTACAATATAATGAAGCCAAAAATTAGTACACTTACTGTAACAGAGCTTGATTTCGTACTGTTTCATCTTGAGACTGCTAGGAAGAAAAACATGTTTTTCCAACTGATAAATGTTAATCCAATGCAACAAGCTAAAAATATTAACATTTAAAGTAATTTTTGTGTTATTCTTTCTTAGCTTCTTTTTTATTGTGGTAAAATACAAATAAAATTTACTATCTGTTTACTATCTGTACATTTGTAAGTGCACAGTTCTCTGGCATTAAGTATATTCACACTATTGTACAACCATGATCACCATTCACCTCCAGAACTTTTTCATTTTCCCAAACTGAAACTCCACACTCATTAAACACTAACTCCCCAATCCCCTCCCCACCAACCATGGCAGCCACCATTCTGCTTTCTGTCTTTATTGATTTACTACTCTGGAAACATCATATAAGAGGAATCATACAATTTTAATCATTCTGAGGCTAGCTTATTTCACTTAGTATAATGTATTCAAGGTTCATCTACGTTATGGCATGTATCTGCATTTCCTTCCATTTTAAGGCTGAATAATATTCTACTGTATGTATGTACCACATTTGATTTATTCATCTATTGATGGACACTTGCAGTGCTTCCACCTTATTTGACTATGGGGAATAACACTGCCATAAACATGTGTGGACAAATACATCTATTCAAGTCCCTGCTTTTACTTCTTTGGCATATACAGTCAGAAGTGAAATTGCTAAATCATTAAGGTGATTCTATGTTTAACTTTTTAAAGGAATAGCCATACCATTTTCCACAGCAGTTACATCATTTCAACTTCTCCACATTCTTGCCAACATTTGTTATTTTCTGGGTTTTTTTTTTGAGATGGAGTTTCGCTCTTGTTACCCAGGCTGGAGTGCAATGGCGCGATCTCGGCTCACCACAACCTCCGCCTCCTGGGTTCAGGCAATTCTCCTGCCTCAGCCTCCTGAGTAACTGGGATTACAGGCACGCGCCACAATGCCCAGCTAATTTTTTGTATTTTTTTAGTAGAGACGGGGTTTCACCATGTTGACCAGGATGGTCTCGATCTCTTGACCTCGTGATCCACCCGCCTTGGCCTCCCAAAGTGCTGGGATTACAGGCTTGAGCCACCGCGCCCGGCCTTTTTTTTTTTTTTTAAATAGTCATCATAATGAATGTAAAGTGGTATTTCACTGTGATTTGGATTTGCATTTCCCTAATGATTAGTGATATTGAGCATCTGCTCATTGTCCATTTTTATATCTCTTTTGGTGAAATGTCTATTAGAGACCTCTACTCATTTTTTAATTCAGTTGTTTTTTTTCCGCTGTGGAGTTGTAAGAATTCTTTATATATTCTGTAAACCAGACATGATTTGCAAATATTTTCTCCCATTCCATTTACATTAAATATATAGATATATTTGAGATTTCTCTAACTTTTTGATGTGGATGTTTAGTGATATAAATCTCTCTCTTAACACTGCCTTAACTGTGTCCCAGAGATTCTGGTATGTTGTGTTTTTGTTCTCATTCATTTCAAAGTATATCTTGATTTCTGCCTTAATTTCATATTTACCCAAAAGACATTCAGGAGAAAGTTGTTTAATTTCCATGTAACTATACGGTTTTGGGCAATTTTCTTGGCCTTGACCTCTATTTTTATTGTGCTGTGGCCTAAGAGTGAGGTTGGTATGATTCCAATTTTTTGACTTTACTGAAAATTGTTTCATATCCAATTGCAGGGTCAATTTTAGAAAATGTGCCATGGGGCAATGAAAAGAATGTATATTCTGTTGTTGTTGGGTGGAGAGTTCTGTAGATGTCTATTAGGTCCATTTGGTCAAGTGTAGAGTTCAGATCCTGAAACTCTTTGTTAATTTTCTGCTTCGATGATCTAATATTGTCAGTGTGGTATTGAAGTTTCCCCGTACTATTGTGTGGGAGTCTAAGTCTTTTATTAGGTCTCTAAGAACTTCCTTTATGAATATGGATGCATCCAAGTTAGGTGCATGAAGATTTAGGACAGTTAGGTCTTCTTGTTGAATTTAACTCTTTTTTACCAGTATGCAATGCCCTTCTTTCCCTTGCTGTGGACTAGGGAAGGAAATGTCCCTCTTTGTCATTTTTGATCTTTGTTGGTTTAAAGGCAGTCTTTTCTGAAATTAGAATTGCAATGCCTGCTTTTTTCTGTTTTCTATTTTTAATTATTACCTCTTATTTCACAATTATTGGAGCCAGAGGAAATAAATGTTATTTTTTATGAACTCAAAAGTTACAAAATTAATTTTCAAGTGAGTTATTAGAAGCCAAATATAGATCTCTCAATTTTAAGAAAAATATCTGGTGTTAATTTTTTTGCTTGGTAGATTTTTCTCCATCCTTTTATTTTGAGTCTATGGGTATCATTGCATGTGAGATGGGTCTCTTGAAGACAGCATACCACTGGGTCTGGCCTCTGTATTCAGCTTGCCATTCTGTGCCTTTTAATTGGGACATTTAGCTCTTTACATTCAAGGTTAGTATTAATATGTGTGGATCTGATCCTGTCATCATGTTTTTAGCCGGTTATTATGCAGATTTGTTTGTGTGGTTGCTTTATACTGTCACTGGTTGGCATACTTAAGTATGTTTTTGTAGTCGTTAGTAACAGTATTTCCTTTCCATATTTAATGCTTCTTTTAGAAGCTCCTGTAAGGAAGGTCTGCTGGTAATGAATTCCCTGAGCATTTGCTTGTCTCAAAAGGATCTTATTTCTCAAAATAACAAACATCACAACTAGAAGAACTGGAGAAGCAAGAGCAAAGCAACCTCAAAGCTAGCAGAAGACAATAAATATCCAAAATCAAAGCTGAACTGAAGGACACAGAGACACGAAAAACCATACAAAAGATCAATAAATCCAGGAGCTGGTTCTTTGGAAAAAATTAATAAGACAGATGGAATTCTAGCTAGACTAATAAAGAAGAAAAGAGAGAAAACTCAAATAAACACAATAAGACATGACAAAGGAGAAGTTACCACTGACCCCACAGAAATGCAAATAGCAATCAGATATGACTAGCAACATCTCTATGCACATAAATCTAAAATTCTAGAAGAAATGGGTAAATTCCTGGACAAATGCATCCTCCCAAAACTGAATCAGGAAGAAACTGAATACTTAAACAGACCAATAATGAGCTTTGAAATTAAATCAGTAATAAACAGCCTACCAATTAAAAAAAGCTCAGGACCAGACAGATTCACAGCTGAATTATAAAAAATGTGCAAGGAAGAGCTAGTGCCATTCCTAATGAAGTTATTCCAAAAAATTGAGAAGGAGAGAATTATCTCCAACTCATTCTATAAGGCCAGCATCATCCTGATACTAAACCTGGCAGAGCCACAATAACAGAAAAAGAAAACTTCAGGCCAATATCTTCAGTGAACATAGATGCTCATCAAAATCCTCAACAAAATACTAATAAACCAAATGTGAATTAGTACATCAAAAAGCTAATTCACCATGATCAAGTAGGCTTTATCTCTGGAATGCTTCAACATACTCAAATCAATAAATGTGATTCATCATGTAAACAGAACTAAGAACAAAAACCACATGATTATCCAAATAGATGCAGAAAAGGCTTTCAATAAAATTCAAATCCCTTTATGTTAAAAACCCTCAATAACCTAAGCATTGAAGGAACATATTTACCACCTATGACAAAGCCACAGCCACCATCAAACTTCATACTGAACGGGCAAAGGTTGAAAACATTACCCTTGAAAAAATCAGAACAAGACAAGGATGCCCTCTCTCACCATTCCTATTCAACATAGTATTGGAAGGCCTGGCCAGAGCAGTCGGGTAAGAGAAAGAAATAAAAGGCATCTAAATAAAAAGAGAGGAAGTCAAACCATACCTGTTTGCAGATGACACGATTCTATATCTAGAAAACCTCAGTCTCTCCCCAAAAGCTCCTTGAGCTGAGAAGCAACTTCAGCAAAGTTTCAGAATACAAAATCAATGTACAAAAATCAGTAGCATTTCTATACACCAACAGCATCCAAAAGAAACACAATCCCATTCACAATTGCCAAAATAATAATAATAATAATAATAATAACTAGGGTTCCAGCTAACTGGGGAGGTGAAAGATCTCTACAATGAGAATTACAAAACACTGCTCAAACAAATCATAGGTGACACAAATAAAAGAACATTCCATTCTCTTGAATAGGAAGACTCAATATCATTAATATGGCCATATCACCCAAAGCAATGTACAGATTCAATGCTATTCCTATCAAACTACCAATGACATTCTTCACAGAACTAGAAAAACTATTCTAAAATTCATATGGAGCCAAAAAAGAGCCCAACTAGCTAAGGCAATCCTAAGCAAAAAGAACAAAGCTGGAGGAATCACACTGCCCATCTTTAAACTGTACAAGGCTACAAAACCAAATTAGCATGGTACTGGTACAAAAATAGACACATAAACCAATGGAACAGAAGAGAGAGCCCAGAAATACAGCTACACACCTATAATCATCTGATCTTGGGCAAAGGTGACAAAAACAAGCAATGGGGAAAGAACTCCTTACTCAATAAACGATGATGGGATAACTGGCTAGCTATATTCAGAAGGTTTAAACTGGACCCCTTTCTTATACTATATATAAAAATCAACTCAAGATGGATTAAAGATCTAATATAAAACCTAAAACTATACAAACCCTGTAAGACAACCTAGGAAATACCATTCTGGACATAGGAACTGGCAAACGTTTGATAATGAAAATTCCAAAAGCAATCACAAGAAAAGCAAAAACTGATAAATGGAACCTAATTAAACCAAACAGCTTCTGCACAGCAAAAGAAACTATCAACAGAATAAACAGGCAACCTACAAAATGGGAGAAAATGTTTGCAAACTATACATCTGACAAAGGTCTAATATCCAGAACCTACAAGGAATTTACATAAATGTACAAGCAAAAAACAACTCCATTAAAAAGTAGGCAAAAGACATGAACAGACACTTTTCAAAAGAAGTCATATGTGGCCAACAAGCATACAAAAAAATGCTCAATATCACTAATCATTCAGGAAATACAAATCAAAACCATAATGAGATACTAGCTCATACAGTCAAAATCACCATTCTTAAAATTAAGTTAAAGAATAACAGGCCAGGCACAGTGGCTCATGCTTGTAATCCCAGCACTTTAGGAGTCCAAAATGGGCAGATCACTTGAGGTCAGGAGTTTGAGACCAGTCTGACCAACATGGCAAAACCCTGTCTCTACTAAAAATACAAAAATTAGCCAGATGTGGTGGCAGGTGGCTGTAGTCCCAGCTACTCAGGAGGCTGAGACATGAGAATTGCTTTAACCCAGGAGGTGGAGGTTGCAGTGAGCCGAGACTGTGCCACTGCCCTCCAGCCTGGATAACAGAGACTCTATCTCAAAAAAAAAAAAAAGTAAACAAATAACAGATGCTGGGAGGTTGAGAAGAAAAGGGAGCATTTATACACTGCTGGTGGGAGTATAAATTAGTCCAACCATTGTGGAAAGTGGTGTGGTGACTCCTCAAAGAACTAAAAAAAGAACTACCATTCAATCCTACAATCCCACTAGTAGGCACTGACCCAAAGGAATATAAATCGTTCTACCATAAAGATACATGCACATGTATGTTATTACAGCACTGTTCACAATAGCAAAGACGTAGAATAAACCTAATTGCCCATAAATGGTAGACTGGGTAAAGAAAATGTGGTAGATATACACCATGAAATACTATGCAGCCATAAAAAAAAGAATGAGATCATATTGTATACAGCAACATGGATGGAACTGGAGGCCATTATCCTTAGCAAACTAATGCAGAAACACAAAATCAAATAACATATGTTCTCACTCATAAGTAGGAGCTACATCATGAGAACACATGGACAGAAAGAGGGGAACAACAGATACTGGGGCTTACTTGAGGGTGAATGGTGGGAGAAGGGAAAGGTTCAGAAAAAAACTGTTCATGTACTATGCTTAGTACCCAGGTGATAATCTGTACACACACACACACACACACACACACACACACATAAATTGATTCTCAGAAATCTACATGCAGTTTGAAATGATATAAATGTCAAAATCATATTTTAATAAACCAAAAAATAAAAATTCTTAGTGTGTGTGTGTGCACATGCACACGCATGCGTGCACATACACATACATACACTCACACACATAAGATAACAAAAGTGTCTTTTCAGTGGCCTATATCTCAAATTACACCATATAGACTAGTATCTTCTTCACAAGTTTAAGAAGAATCCCTAATATAAAATGGAGATAAAAATCATAATGATTAAATCCTGTTTTAACCTCTGTTCCACTCACATCTGCATCTCTACCAAAGGGCGAAAAACATAAGAGATGTAAGAGTGGACAAAAGAAAACACAGTTCACCCTTGAACAACACAGGCTTGAACTGTGTGGGTTCACTTATACATGAATTTTTTTAAACCCCTGCAACCCCTCGGAAAGCAAGACCAACCCCACCTCTTTCCTCTTTCGCTTCCCCCGTCTACTCAATGTGAAGATGATAGGATGAAGATCTTTATGATGAACCACTTGCACTTAATGAATAGTAAATGTTTTCTCTTCTTTATGATTTGCTTAACATTTTCTTTTCTCTACCTTACTGTACTGTAATAATATAGTATATAATACGTGTAAAAGACAAAATATATATTGACTGTTTATATTATCAGTAAGGCTTCCAGTCAACAGTAGGCTATAAGTAATTAAGTTTTGGGGGAATCAAAGTTATATTTGGATTTTTGACTGCAAAGGAAGTCAGCATCCCTAACTCCCAAATTGTTAGGGATCAAGGGTTAACTGTATTTTAAATTCTCCCTCCTAAAACAATGATTTTCATCAAAGTTGCAGCAAAGAAATAGAATGACTGGTTAAGAGGTAAAATTTGATAAGAGAAGAGAAAGGAAACAAAATAATAGACAAAAAAAGAGTTATCAGTAGTAATTTGCCACTATGAGAGACAGCATTTTCAATTTTTAATGAGAAAGTATTCAATCAACACACTACACACCTGTAATATTGTATCCTTGCTAAGAACAGGCATCACCTTATTTTTATTCATTTGCTCTTGCAGATCTTCTCTGATCTTAAACCCAAGTTGAATCTCAGGAGAAGGCATGCCTACAATGAAATATAATCATAAATCATTTGCAATAGTTTTATTTCTCTGCTTTGACAATAATCCAAGAATTTTATAGGCATGCAAAATGTCATTAAGAAACATCTAGCATATCATAATTTCTTTATTTCTTCTAAAAAATATGGGATACATGTGCAGAATGTGCAGGTTTGTTACACAGGTATACACATGCCATGGTGGTTTGCTGCATCTATTCACACATCCTCTAAGTTCCCTCCCCTCACCCGCTCCATGCCCCAACAGCCATGGTGTGTGTTGTTCCCCTGTGTCTATGTGTTCTTAATGTTCAACTCCCACTTATGAGTGAGAACATTCGGTGTTTGGTTTTCTGTTCCTATGTTAATTTTCTGAGGATAATGGCTTCCAGCTTCATCCATATCCCTGCAAAGTACATGATCTCATTCCTTTTTATGGCTGCATAGTATTTCATGGTATACATGTACCATATTTTCTTTAGCCAGTCTATCATTGATGGGCATTTGGGTTGGTTCCATGTGTTTGCCATTGTAAACCATGCTGCAATAAACATATGTGTGCATGTGTCTTTATAGTAGAATAATTTATATTCCTTTGGGTATACACCTAGTAATGGGATTGCTGGGTCAAATGGTATTTCTGGTTCTGGATCCTTCAGAAATTGCTGTACTGTCTTCCACAATGGTTAAACTAATTTACATTCCCACCAACAGTGTAAAAGCATTCCTATTTCTCCACAGCCTCACCAGTATCTATTGTTTCCTGACTTTTTAATAATCACCATTCTGACTGGCATGAGATGGTATCTCACTGTGGTTTTAATTTGCATTTTCTGATAATCAGTGATGTTGAGCTTTTTCTCATATGTTGGTAGTATATCATAATTTCTTAACTGCCACTTTCATGTGTTAATATTTTTAAATCATTAAGAGAAAACACATATACTATACTAAATGAAATAATACTTGATATTTCTTTGTCTCAGGATGAATAAAAGCAAACAATATGCATAGAAAGTATACAGACTTAAACACCACTTGAATAAATTTATGTTCCTTTTAAAATTCATTTTAGGTCATTTTTTGAAACTCATGCTAGTACAGAACTCAAAAAAGTCAGAGTTTTTGTCATCAAAATGGCAAATTGAGCCCATATTTTAACTTTAACCTTCTAAGTTCATAGAAAAATATCCAAAGAAATTATAAGATTTTTTGGTTTTTGAAAATCTGAAGCAACAATGGAAAGAAAAGGAATATAGATATATACCCCCTATAGATCAAAAGATGGGAATGGATTCAAGGAAACCCAAATAGTAGTAAACAGCTTGTTATAGACTGAATGTCTGTGTATGTCCACCCCAGCCAAATGCATATGCTGATGCCCTAACCCCCAATGTAATGATATTAGGAGGTAAGATCTTTGGCAGGTAGTTAGGTTTAGATGAGGTATTGAGGGAGAAGCCCTCATAATCCCTCCTGGGATTAATATCCTTATAGAAAGAGAGAGGAAGGCCAGAGCCCTCTCCCCCTGAGCACAAAAGGGAGGTCATGTGAGCACATAGCAATGTAGCAGCCATCTGCACAATCCAGGAAAAGGATTCTCACCAAGAACCAAATCTGTCAGCACCTTGACTTTGGATTTCCCATCCTCCAGAACTGTGAAAAATAAATGTCTGCAGTTCAAACCACACAGTCTATAGTATTTTGTTATAGCAGCCCAAGCTAAGACACAGCTTATCATACAACACAGGAAAAGGAAGAGCTCTCTCAGAAATAATTTTATATATACATGTATATACACATAAATACATTTCTTCCATTAGAATTCCAGAAAACCACCCAGTTCAGAGAAAATCCCCCTAACAAAAGTTGGAAGAAGGTAAACTGGAAGACCACTGTGATAAAGTATCATACTGCATTCAGCTTGCTGTTTGTATCAAAGAAACTTAGGACGAATGCCATGGCCAATTACTCTGTATAACAAGATATCTTCCCTACTATATATAGAAACACAATAAAGCTAAGGATGATAAAATAATATAGTGATGAAATAGTCACAGAAATAGACAAATAGTCAATGAAACAAAACAATGAATAGAAAATGAATATACATACATACATGTATATGGAAATTTAATATATGACAATGGTATTTTAAACCATGACAAGATGGATTATTCAGTAAATAATATTGGGAAAATTAACCATTTCAAAAAACAAAGTTTGAGTCCCACCTTTCCCATATGCCAAAATATTCCAAACATTAAAAATATAAAAGCTACAAATATAATCAATGAAAATAAAGATTAAAAATATATCTCTATGGTTTTTAGGTGAGTGAAGTACTTCTAAATCTGATAGAGAAACAAGAAACCTTAAAAGAGAAGACTGACAGCTCTTACTACACAAAACTTAAACTTTCTTCACTGTAAAATATATCATAAATATTAAAAGATAACCAGAAAACTGGGTAAAACTATTCACAACGCATATATGACAAAGATTTGCTATCTTTAATATATAAAATGCTGTTGCAAATCAATAATAAAAGAATAAATTGGAGACAGATGCAGGCAATCCATACACAAAAAAAAATTATGAATTTTTGATATTAAAATAGGCCTAATATTTGGTAATCCTTGAAAATGCAAACTAAATCAGATACTTTTTATTTGGCAAAGACTGAATTATGTCCTGCATTGGTTGTAGGAAGAAGGAGATATCTTTTTAAGGGGAAATATACGTTAAGAGCAGACACGTGTACACCTCTAAATAGCAAATCTACTTTTAGATAGTTATTCCAAGGAAATAATCAGAAAAGCAGGCAAATGTATAAGTATTAAGATATTCACATTTTATAATAGTATTGAAAAACATTAAATATCATTAATTCATTAAATAAGGTACATTCATATAATGGAATAATATGTAGCAATGTAAAATACTGAGGTAGACTCCTCCAACCCCAAGGGCTTTTTGTTGATCAAGGAGTCAAGACTAAGAACAATGACCATATTAATTTGAAGGTCATGTGGTACAGTTTAGGATTAAGAGTTATACACAACTTAATAAACTAATTAAAGCATATTGTGAATGACAGGGTTTGTCAATGAGACAGATCTCATTCCAACTTGACAGGCAACCAATGATACAAACACAAATGGTGGATGAAGATGCAATTGGTGTGTTCCACGAGCAGATAAGAGGTATCTTAAAAGAAGACCTAATACTCTGACGTGTGGTTTCAGGTGAAACTCAGCACATTGATAGCTGTGGTGGCTCTGGTGAGAGACTTCTGCTTGAGAAAGGTGGAGGGAAAAGTAAAGGGAACTCTGTCTTATACCTTAGGTATGAATTCAGCCACAATGGGTAGAGAACAAGGCAGGCTTTTGGGATCACTGATTCAAGAAGGCCTGGCTCTTGGATAGTATTTCTGGAACTGCCCTGAGCCAGATGGGAGCCCACTGCCCTGAAGGGTGAGTTCCAGACCTGTAAGCATTCATTACAAGCTGACTGAAGAGCCCTGAGGCCTTAAGTGAACAGTGACGGTGGTCTGGCAGTATTCCCCTTGGGCCTATGGTGGTGGTGGCCATGGGGTGAGGCCCTCCTACCTATGGAAAGGGGAAGGAAGAGTGGGATGGACTGTATCTCATGATTTGAGTACCAGCTTAGCCACAGTAGAATAGAACACCAGGTAAATTTCTAAGGCTTTTGATTCCAGTCTCTGGTTCCCAGACAGCATCTCTAGACCTGCCCGAAGATTTGGGGAGCTCACTGCACTGAAGGGAAGGACACAAGCCTGACTGGTTTTGCTACCTGCTGATTGTAAAGCTGTAGTGAACATAGGTGGTAGCCAGGTAATAGTTACAGCAGGCTTTGGGCAAGACTCAGTACCCTGCTGGCTTCAGGTCTGACCCAGTGGTGGTAGCTACAGCGGTACTCCAGGTCTGTCCCAGTGATGGTAGCCACAGGAGTACTTTATGTCTGTCCCAGTGGTGGTAGCCACAGGGGTACTTTTATTACCCCATTCCCAGCTCCACACAGTTCAGCAGAGAGAGAGAAAGACTCTGTTTGTTTGGGAGGAAGTAAGGAAAGAAAACAAGAGTCTCTGCCTGGTAATCTAGAAAATTCTTCCAGATCTTATCCAAGTTCACCAAGCTGGTGCCTCTGTAAGTCCGCAAGAAACACAGTGTTACTAGGCTTGGGGTACCCCCTAAGGCAAACACAGCCTAGATAGAGCACAACACCCAAGTCCTTTAGAACACCTGGAAAGCCTTCCCAAGAAGGACAGGTACAAACAAGCCCATATTGTAAAGACTATAATAAATATCCAAATTCAAGATAACACAGAGATGGAATTCAGAATCCTATCAGATAAACTTAACAAAGAGTTTGAGATCATTACAGATGCACAATAGAGTACTATTCAGCCCTAAAAATGAATGAGATTTAATCATTTGCAACAACATGGATAAAGTGAAAATCATTATATTAAGTGAAATAAGCCAGGCACAGAAAGACAAACATCTCATGTTCTCACTTATTTGTGATATCTAAAAATCAAAACAATTGACCTCATGGAGATAGGCAGAAGGATGGTTACCAGAGGCTGGGAAGGGCAGTGGGGAACTGGAGCGAGCTGAGAATAGTTAATTAGTAAAAAAAAAAAGCTAGAAAGAATAAATAAGACCTGTCTGATAACACAACAGGGTGACTATAGTCAATAATAATTGTATATTTCAAAGTAACTAAAAGAAAGTAATTGGATTCTTCATAAGACAAAAGAAAAATGTTTGAGAGGATGGATACCTCATTCTCCATGATGTGCTTATTTCACACTGCTTACTTGTACCAAAAAATCTCTTGTACCCAAAAAATATATGCATCTACTATGAATCCTCAAAAATTAAAAAGAGAAAAGTTTAAAAGACCTTTACACTTTAACTTCATCACCCTGTTTTTCAACTTTTTGTTATTATTTGTATCTTATTATCCTGTGTATGTCT